ATACCATCGATCTTGCAATATCTATTTAAAACAAGATCGTTTAAAAAATTCTTTCTCCTATTTTATTTATTTTGTTTTATTTTCATTAACTCCTTTGCGAATCGGCGAATTTCAGATCCGTGATTACCTCGAATAATTGCCGAATGTCGAAATATAGGGTGTCCCAAAATATCTCCGGATGTTCTTTTAATAGCAAATTCTCTGGCCAATTCAGACAATTTTTTTACTTATTGTTAGCGAAAATATCGAGAGAAATCATAATCTTTCTCAAGTTTCCAATTTTTTTCCATCATATATCTTTCTAAGCCTGAAATTAAAATTCTATTAAAATAAATTCAATTTAAAATTAGTTGAAAAAAAGTAATTTTTGGTTAAGCTTTTAATTCCGCAAAATATATATTTAATAATTTTTTCAATCGCTTATATAACATTTTGCACTAAGAAAAAATCGTTTCTAAATCGAACGTAGAATCTGTTATTAAGAGGACATCTGATAATTTTAAGACACCCTATATACGAACACGCGCGCGCGCGCACGTACATATTATGTTTGCTGTTTTGTACGCCAATTAATATATTGCACACAATTGCAGCTCTCTTTATTTTCAGACAGAAATAATATCCCGAACAATACATTGAATTAAAAGCAATGAAATTTCAGCGGAAGCGAGCTCAGCTTGAAATTGCTCGCGGGAAATTGGTTGGCGCGTTGCAATAACGAAATTTCGCTTTACCTCCATATAATCAATCGGTTTTGTAAGCGTAAACCTACCTAACTTTCTCGCGCCCGCTTGCGGTAAATCGTCCTCGACATCGGAATCATCCTTGGGCGGGCAGATTAAATTCTGTAACGCCTGTAAATCCCTCGGAGTAAAACAACCGTCCATCCCGACGTGCGACAGATTCACTATGGAGGCAATAACAAACTGCCGTCACTATGGCAACGCATTTACAGTTTTTCGATAATAATGGCGGTTAATTTGAACTAATCCGACTGAAAAATTGCGCGCTCGACATATAGCGCGCGAGCAAAATAAAAAAGACAGCTGTTTATTATTAAATTAACATAAACTCTTATATAGAATTCTATTTCAGTCATTATATCACGGAAATGGAAATAAAATTGTCGAAGCTTCCTGCAATATGTGTCAACAAAAGAGAGAGAGAGAGAGAGAGAGAGAGAGAGAGACCGAAAGAGGAGTTTTCAAATTAGAAAAGATTAAAAATCACAAAACTCTTTAATAAAACAATATAAAAAGAAAGAGAAAAGCATATACGAATTAAAAATGTATAAATGAATAGAAAAGGTATAACAAAAGCATTATATATAATTATTATCGCATGTGTTTGATATCCAAGTGTAAATCCCGTGAGATTACACCGTCTTTGAGAGAATGTTAACGTATTTAAATAAATTATTTTATCTCTCTCCTCCTTTCCTTTTTAGTAATGAGTCTCAAAATAAACAAGCAGTTCCAAAATAAATCGATTATTTAAAACTTACATCTGTCCAACGTAGCTTTCGCGCTTATACAACAGCAATCGAATTTATAATAATAACTTTCTACAAAATATCCGTTGTAAAAAAGAGAGGAAAGTGGTCTCTTGAACGCTTACCAACGTAATATTTCTTACATCTATGTTACCAACCCTCGTTTAGTATCGCCATCTACGCTCATTATAGATTATACGAAACTGCAGAGGGAATTAAGATTAATATAATAAAAAATATAATAAAAAATACTCCGTTTTTCTTTCAAAAATCAATCTAAATTTTATATATATTATAATCACAGATTATTTTTTTGGCCAATGTTTAGAAACTTGTGATATAAATCGCAGATTTTTTATTTAATAAGAAACGACAAAAGATATATATAAACGTAAATCAAAATGTCAATGATATAACAAAATAATAAGTTAAATCGTCCACAAGAGAGTATTACATATATAAATAATAATAAGGATAAATGTAAGGAGATCTATAAGTAAAAAAACAACCGGTCTTGTAGCACATACATTGATTTATTATACGTAGATTGTTCATAGCTTATTGTTTCTCTATTTTTTTTTTATAGCAACAGCAAATATACTATAGTTTGGTCAGATTAACAAATGTTATCTCTCCAATCTGCCGTAGATGTGATTATTCATGTCGATACACCGGATATAACACGAATAACCGAGCCTGTATACATCATTGGCAGGTTGTGACATATAATATATGGAGGCCTGATCAATCATCCGGGCATGATGGTCTCCGTTTAAATTTGGTTGCCAGTGTGTGTTGTGATTAAATTTTTGATAATCATTTTCATAATCGAAGACACATCCAAGAGAGGTCTAGTTAGATAATTAACTAAGTTCACAGCGCGTACTAAAAGCGTACTAAGAGTCCTATTATCGTCCTCCTTTGATTACTCTCACGTATCAAAGGTACGCGCTGTCTTTTTTTATAACGTTTACGCGAAACAACGCAACGTACGTAATTCAAAAAGAGTCTCCTCTTTCTCCCTTCCGAAGATACTCTTAACGTTAAGAAAGTACCCCCTCCCCCCCCCCGCATTCACTACTTTCCTCTCTTTTTCATCCGTCGCATTAAATGCCATCGCGATTAACTGGCGCGCAATCCGTCTTATTTTTTTTAAGTCCCTACTTTTATAATGTTATATACAATTGTTTGGCACCGAAGTTGTGGTTTTTTTCCCCTTTTCTTTCAAATCGCACGATGCCAGCACGAAGGTCCAACGTGAACGTAACCCCCCACCCCCACACACCCTTTCATTTGTATGTTCAAGAGAGCGAAATAAGGTAAAAGTACATCTGAGTGTGTGTTTGTGTTGTGCTTACGTCGTTTGCTTAATCAAGGATCGTTCGCGATCAATGATAGCATTCGTCGAGTCGAGGCGCGCCAAGGGATTCGGAACCTTGGGAGCTCGAGAACAAGTATCGCCTTGGACTTTCGCATAGTCCTGTCCTAATCGTCGCTCGTTAATTATGAATGCTCAAGTACGAACGACACGTTCCGACGATTTTAAGTACACGTTAGCATGTTACAAGAGCTTTTTCTCTTTGGCATAGTTTATAAATATACATCTTTCTTTCTCTCCGTACTCTTTTTTTTTCTCTTCGCATTCTTTTGCCATGTTATAGTGTGGAATGTATGTTGCCGGTGTATGCACCTCGGTCAAAAACCTCGTCGTCGTTACCTGGAGCCTTGTCAAGTCAGTACATTGCCAATCCGACTCTTTCGACACCATGTCGCGCATATCGCGGATACATATATCTTCTCGCTCGTATAGAGGCGGATCGGCAAAGCGCTTAGCCCGCGATGCGGTCTCTCTCTTATCGTTACGAAAATTACATTAATTTATCTCCTCTTATTAATCGTATTCTAGGGAACTCTGACTGCCACTGGTTCTCAGCGAATCCAGACTGCCCAGCAGTCAGACATACATAACAATTATCACAACTTAATATCGTATAATACTAATACAATATTATGTAAATATATTAATATTTATATATAT